ATAGTATGCAGACTTTATAATCTGCACTCTTTTGGTTGAATGCAGTATTTATTTCCACTTTGGCTTTATGTTGTTTAGTTTTTATTCAAGTACGTTTTTTTGTTAATGGCGACTGAGAATCCTTTTTGTTTTTGGTTGTTTTGTTTATTTAGTTTATTAGTTCCAGTGTTATGTGTTCTTTTGAAAATAAAGTGCATCCATCTATAGCAGGAAATCGCATGCATTATTAGTTATTTCCATGAAATGAGTGTCAAAAGGTCTTGAAACAATATTATCGTTTATCACAATAATTTTTAAGACAATCGCTCAGCAAAATTTGTTATCGTGACAGGCCTAGTTGCGCGCAGGCTTTACGGCACTTTAACTTAACCTCTTAGCTGATCAGAAGGACCCAGAAGAAGCTTTCTATCTGTGCGGCAGGAGTTTGAGTGAGTGACCTCCAGGGCTCAGAAGAGTCCCCTCATATTCCACCATCGGTATGTTTTAGATCTACCACAGAATAATAATAGTAGACCTCTAAAGCCAGCTAAGTTTTCACACTTCACCAAGAAGCCAAGAGCAGCACTAACTTTCACAGCCTGCCTCGTCCTGCTGCTCCTCAAATCAAAACATGATCAGCTCTCTGGTCCAACACTGGAATTTCCTTTCTCTTCTCTCCTCTTCTCCAAACTGACAAATACAGTCAGCTTCTCTGACTGTATTTGTGGACAAAGCAGTCAGAAGACAAAGTATTTTGGATGTATTATTCTTAAAAGCTCCTTCTGGTTTTAATTGGAGTTTTTAACCTTTTGACCTAAGTCCCTCGTAGGATTTACAAACAGCAGCTGGACTTTCAGAGGTAATTTGGATTATTCTCAAATTTCATTTGACGTCTAGAAGCTGGAGCAGTGGGTCAGGGTTTAACTTTGAAGTTAAATATTTGCTAGATGATGCACACATACGTCAAAAACACTGAGATCACCACACGTGGGATGGGAAAGACTTACAATCTCCATACAACTTGATAAAATCAGCAGACAAACTTTTACAATGCTGTGACAGAACTGTCAGATTCCAGTCAAAAATGCAAGATACGCTTTTTGAGATTATTTTGGGCCACTGATGGGAATCTGCAACATCTCGACCATAAACACTCCACCACTATAGAGACTGTTGATGAAGGCTGTCTAACAGTTTTGGATTGTAAGGAGGAGCTGAATGATTGCCAGGCATTCTTGGACCGTTTCAAGATCTCTTACTGGAACGATCCCCAGGAGACTGTGGACTATTCTGGAAACAACCCATGGAAATTGGACATTTAGTACAATTACTGGCACTCTGAGAAAAAAAGAAAACCTTTTGGACAAAAACAGTTAAAGAAATTCTGGTAAGTTTCCCTTTTTACTAGGGGTGTAGTGATACAATAATTTCACGGTACAATATACGATATTCTGGTCACAATACGATATGTATCACAATATTTGTTGAGCGATACAATTCGCTACGATTCAGTGCATTTTTACGTTTTTCTGAAAGATTTTAGAAGGACAGAGTGATTTTAGTGGCATTTTGTGTTCCATAGACTTGAATTTAGTTAACTGAAAACTGATTAAAAGCACGAATTACACAATACCTGACTCTGATTGGACAGTCTAACAGTCTGCAGCTGGACAAAATGAATCAGTGAGAGAATTAGTTTGTCATTTAATTCATGTGGATTTGACATAAAACTCAAAAGTTTAAACGGTAATCCAGGAGCAGAGTGGAAAGATTATCAGCCTCTGTAGACTCTCAATATGCAAATGATTCCACTTATGTTTTTTTTTCTTTTGGACACTGTGGCTGCATTTTGGAGTAAAAATGCAGCCACAAATGCAGTCTTTTGGACTATGGGGAAAAAGGCTTTTCTACCTTGTCTCCCGGAGTTAGCCGTGGCTGTAAGCTGCTGTCGTCTAACTGCTAAAGTCGTGGCTCCGCCTCACCCCGCAGTGATCGACTCCCTGCAGCTACGCAGCGCCGCTATTCCCCTGCTTGGATCTCTGAGTAGCTGCCTCTCAGACTGCCAGGATCTCATAGTACTCTCAGTCTCTGATACTTTGTCTGTTGCTAATAAGAATGATCGATCAGCCATTGTTATCATGGAAATCCTCACTGCGCCGCGGATTCCGGCTGGGGGGTTTTCCTCTTCATCTTACTGCTCAAAACACAGCGCCGCTGCCGCGCCGCTTCGCTGCCGCTTCGGATGTTATCAACCCATGTTCATTCTTCAGGTAATCCTTTATATACAGAACAGAAACCGCTAAGCTAAAAACTAATTACGAAGTGATTGCTACCAGTCGAAATTTGCATTAATTTCGCGATTTCACTGCTTTTGCAGCTGCTCTGTTCGCGCCGCTACTCCTTTCCGCTTCTCCGTTCCGCTTCTCTTTCACGGTTACTTGCGCAACTTTACTTCGTTCATCAGCAACAAAATAGAGCCCATTGTTATTTATTGAAGATTTTACATTTCCAAAAACAGGAATCTAATGTTTCGTTTCGTTTTGTACGTTTGGAAGCTCATTCCCTCTCACATGATCAGAAAAGCCGGGGAATGGCGGCGCTTTTGACATTTCTCTGACATTTGGAAAAATATGGTTTACTAATTTTAGCAGAACTCCGGTTATACTTGGCCTATTAACACAATTTAAAAACTAGTGTATAGTTTATAATGTGCACTTTAAGCTCAAGTTGAAAGTGAGACTGAGGGAGGCGGAGTCTTGCTGCTACGCCGTAACAAACTAGACGTTAAAAAGAGCTGTCAGGCTATGGACCCCTATGGTTTAACGGATCGATACTCGCGGATGAAAAATCGATACTTTCCGAGGGCGGAAAATATCGATATATATCGCCAAATCGATTTATTTATACAGCCCTACTTTTTGCACAATAATGATACTCGTAGATAAACTGTTTATTCTTTTAGTGCTGGTCGGGTTTTCTTTCTGCTCTTCTAACACTTTAAGCCGACTTTTATATGCCTGTTAACTCTATAACTATAAGCAATCTCATATATATTCATATATTAAAACTCTTGTTCAGCTACTGTTTTCGCAAAAAAAAAAAAGCCAAACAAGTAAAAGACGAAGTGGAAATTTGAACCAGTTATGTTTTTTTTTTTTCCTTATAAGCTCATAGATTTCCCAATAGCTCTGAAACCCTTAAATATCACAAACATAAATTAACAACACTCTTTTGTTTGGATCTTGAGAAACTTTAGGGAATAAAGATCACATTAAAAGTGAAGTTAGTAATGTGTTTGGAAGATTGAGCCTCCAAGTCCACTGCCCGACACTACCCCCCCCCCAAAAAAAAAACAAAAACAAAAAAACCCTTCAAATTTGAGGTCTGGTTTGATTTTAAATGGTTAAAGGAATTTCAATAGCAATAAATAACCACCAAAGACAAAAGACGTATTAAATTTAGCAATGCCTTTTTCTTAGATGTCTAAACTCTTTTGGAAGAACAGCTATTCTTCCAAAAGTGTCCACCCAGATACAGACTTCAGACATCTATTTACGTTATATGTGAATGTCTCTGATTCTCACCCAAGTCATCACTGTGCTGCTCGTCCACAGCTGATGGACACTAAACAGGAAGCTGAACCACATATGTCTGGATGCCTCATTGTGTTTGTATCTCAACTTTCACTCAAAAGAACAGGGTCACCACAAGCTGCAGATTTATCAGATCAAATCTAATCCAAGAGTCGGTAGTCATTGTGGACCTGATTGGTTTTCCTGTGCATGGATCAAATTAATAAATTCTGGAGTGAGAGCAGGTTAGTATGCAGAGTCATTTAGTAGCAAGTATTACAATTACACAGACTATTAATGTCAATATTGAGGATAGAGCGTAACTAAAAACATATTTACTGATGGAGGGCCAGGTAACTTTTTTTTTTTTTTTTGCTCTGCTTCTACTTCTTGCAGACATCCCTGACTGAAACCTCTTTGGTATTAATCTGCTAAAAACAATAGTGGGGACAAAAAAATTACTTTTAATGTTTTGCCATTGTGCACAGTCTAAATCATGTAATGATCTAATTTTATTAGTTGCAGCAGGAGGATGTGGTTTCAGATGCAAAGTTCTCCTTTTATGGCTATTTGGCAGAACTAAGCACAATAGTTTAAAATAAAAAAGCTTTTTAAAGTAACAGTCTGTTATCTTGCATGCTTATGTGACAGACACACAAAAAACGAAAGCAAGTTTCTAATTAAAAAGAGCAACTTTTACTTGAAGAAAAACAGAAGTCACTCTTTTCGCTTTTGATCTTTTGAGCTGCATTAGTCTGAAAAGATTTAATTTTAAATAAATTGAAATTGAAAATAAAACTGTGTTCTGTACCAATCAATTTTACACCAGATATTAAACACTGCTCTGTAGAACTCGTTGTGTAAAAATCAATGTGTTAATTACTCAGTGCTCCGACTCACATGGAGTTCTGTTCAATAAGTTAAAAAACACCACAGCTGTATCAGCTTCATGTCTATAAGCACAGCCAAACCCACAGTTCTTCCATGCCAGAGTTCACTTCTCTGCTGCTGTGATGTACTTAGCTACGTTTTTGCACCCAACGCCATTTACACTGGAGCTTAAACCCGGCAGCACGCATTCCAAATGAAATGGCCTAAAACACAAAAATGTGTCAATAGATGTCCAGGGGCCAACGGAGAAAACAAGAAAAGCTCTCCATCTTTGACACATTCTTCCCAACTCAGCAGCAGTCTAGAGGCTATTATAGCCGGGCCAAAAAGGCCATCAGCTCTCTGCAGAAACATTCTTTAAATTGTCAGCATGTCATCCTGAGCATCTGAGTGCACAGGATGCCACACGTTTCAACCCCCGTCACGCAGTTGCCGACGACTAACGCTCTTAAAGAAACTGTCAGTTGTGCAGGTGTGCATGCAGCGCTCCGCCTTCAACGCAGACACAAACATTTTTATGCAATGCTGGCGGTTAAGACGTAGGTGTTTCCAACTTACCGACAACCATTAATGTAAACTCGAACCCTCTCTTGACGGACTTCCGATACACCTGGTTGGGGAGATTGGCGAAGCCCACATACCCCTCCAAGTTCCGCTGCTGAAAGAAAGACGAAATTTCCGTTTCAGTGTTTGATAAGCAGACGATGACAGCAGACTATCAAACTCGGATTAGTTCAAATATAGTCATGGTCAGGGAAAAGTAACCTACTAAGACCAGAAGGATGCATGTAAACATGAACTTCTTTCAGTCCTTTTTTTTCCCCTCTCCACACTTACATAAAAGAAAATGCAGCGATAAAACAAGGCAAAAAGCTTGCTCCTTTTCAAGACCTGCAATTAGCATTTTTCCTTTGCTACATCGACAGAACCCCTTTCAACTTAAGTGTAGCTGGTATAAATACAAGTTGGAGAAAAAACAGTTGCTTTGGAAGGGTGGGGGCTGAGAGGAGAAATAACAGGCCTTAGTTGGAAAATGATGCAAAGAACTTTCTAGTAACGCCAACTAAAACGGAAATATTAGTCTGCTAAACATCTATGTTCTCACTGCAGACATATTTAGCCAAATGACGATATTAAAAACAGCAAATGTCCTACGTATTCAGTCGTGTCCATCATGTACGACCGGGCGTGAGGAAGGAAGCTGGTTGCCACAAAGGTATCTCTTCATCTCTCTCCCTGTTCCCTTTCTCCTCCCTCTGTCTCTCTATCCGTCAGCTTGTTATCATTATAAAAACCCTCCAATCACCATGCAGCGTCCTGCACGCTAGATGGGGCAAACACAATTGATTGTTGGCCTCTCCAGCTCCGTCATGCATGGCACAGATGGAAACGTGCAGAAGTGACGGAGCTACTCATAGATTAGGTGTTAATCTTAAACCCAGTGGTCAACAATATCAAAACCTTCTTCTGTCACATCCTCAACTACTAAACCTCCAGTTTCTTTCCCTCAGAAATACAGTGCTGAAATATTTTGTTTATCAATTAGACATTATTTTAATCATGTTATTTGGAAAAGATACCAATATAAATTAACAATTGTACTATATCGTGTGACCCAAACCGTAATGTGGCCAGTTTAACAAGCTTTATTTTCCACAGAAATAGAGTGGTAATTTTTTTTGGAAAGATTTAAAAACTATATCAAAATGTTGTCTAGGAAATAGAATGAATATAAAGAGAAGTGAGAATGAAAGGAGTTGTCCAGCAAATCTCAGAAGGTAAATGCAAAAAGTAGTGTAGGATGAAGTGAAATATACACTCAAGTGCCAATCCATGGCTTTGATAGCCACATGACTGCATTTTATACAACCTGGTACCAAATCTAAAACAAGAAGAGTCATCAAACAAGGGTTTCTGCAAGTTTAATTTAAACATTTCAACTTTAATACCTACATGAACTTGGCAAACATATGTTAACTCACTAGCTCTCAAAATTATTTTTATTTGCCTAGTAGCCAAGTTTACTCAAGACGTTGATGTTTTTTGACTTTACAGCCGAGTCCAGTGCTTTTCCATCTTTGCTTCCCTTCATCTAGTCAGACTTGGACTGAATTATTGTAAACACTTTGTAAATTCTGTCAACCACAGGCCATTTCTAAAAAATCTTATATTTAACGAGAATTCTTAGTTTTTCCCAAACATATTGATAAAAGTGTGCCATTGCACCTGGTGTAAAAGAAACATTGCATTTCATAAAAAAACTGCATACCAACAGTAAAACATGGGGGTGGTAGCATGGTAGTCTGGGGCTGTTTTGCTGCTTCGGGACCTGGCTGAATTAGAACAATTCTCCAAAGAAGAGTGGGCCAAAATTGCTCCATAGCTCTAAAAGACTCACTGCAAGCTGCTGCAAATGCTTGATTGCAGTTGTTGCTGCCAGGAGTGGACCAACCAGTTATTAGGTTTAGGGGGCAATCACGTTTTCACACAGGGCCAGGACTGCTTGGATTTTTCCTCTCTAATAATAAACACCTTAATTTAAGAACTGCATTTTTGTGTTTACGTGTGTTGTTCTTGACTAATATTTAACTAAGTTTTGATATTCTGAAACATCAAAGTGTAACAAACATGCAAAAAAAAAAAGGGAAATGAGGAAGAGGACACATATGTTTTTCACATGCAGCTTTCTTAATCGTCACGACGACAATTATTGTGAATTTAATATCCTATTCACATCTAACCTGTTAAAACACAATCAATACTCACAAAAGGTTTTCAGCTTTCAATGTGGGGGAAAAAAAAGACTGAAAGTACCTTGCCAACATTAACAAAGAAGCTGCAACAAAAAAAAACAAAAAAACAGGCACAATCTATTCACCTCATCAATACTGCGATGCTTGCAGCAGAAAAGCAGGAGTAACTACTCCAAACAAGCCTGAAGCACTTTCCAACATTTCCATGTTTGATCCACCCACATTCACATGCTCAGAGTATGTTACATAAACTACCACCTCTGATGATCCGTCCATTTCTCCCTGCTGCCACATTAATGGTACCCACATAGTTTTTATTTTAGCACTTCAGGAAGAAAGTGGTGGTTCAGCTTGTCGACGTTCAGCTCCTGCAACCGCCTGACTGTGAATGTAACAAAGAGGTAAGATGGATGTAGCGTGGATCAGTTGGAACACGTTCGTGTGAATTTTATAGGTTAACGTTTCTGCGGAAATAGGCAGGCACACAGGCGTGCACTTCAGATCTACACAGCTGAAAGAAAGCGAGAAAACAGAGCAGCAGGCATGGGACTTTAAAAAAAACATAGAAAAAAAGGAAGTAATGGGGGATGAGAGAGAAAAAGACTAGTCAGCCCATACCATTCATGCAGCCCCATCCCCCAGTCCACCCAGTGGTGATAGTAGCTGCCTGGCTCACTGACATCATCTCGCAAAGCCCCTCACCCTCCACAGGCATTCAGCAGCAGCTGATCCCCGGGCCTTCTCACCGCCTCCATCAGCTGTTTCCAGTTTTGAGTTTTTACATATTCCAAATGAATAATTCATCAAGTATTGCTTTATTTAAGCAGAGCAAAGGGAGGAGTGAATGCCGATGAAAAGAATAACCGTGTCGGTGCCCTTTTGGTATTTTTAGCACTTATCTCCCAGCTATTTCTATTTTTCTGTGCATGACCACTACCTTGTTATGCCGAAGAAAGTCACTGCCAGTCACCTTTGGCTTTATTGCAGACAGATGCAGAGTGACAACATGGGGTAGAATGCGTTGTGGTGAGTAATCCTTCATTGCTAAATGTAAGTGACAGTGTAAAAAAGCCCTCCTAAAGAGGAAATGACGTTCAAGGAGGCACGAGTGCCATCTAAATCAGAGCTTGTGTTTAAAATTTTATAATGAAATGACACCGTAAACACACTAACAATAGAAACCAACAGCGTTCAGACAGCTGGGCGATGGAAATGACTGAAAACGTATACAAAACATATTTCCAGTTACAAGATGAAACCGAAAAAGTAGGCCGCCTGGTTACCCAGTAGATTTGACTTGAATCTGGGAAGAGAACCTTGTATTTAGGATGAATGCTCTCCATGTGCGTGTATGTTCTTCTCCCCAGTTTGAGTTTATTGACGTTTTGATCCGACAAAGCAGTAATTGATTCCACTGAAAATTGTTTTTTCAATCAAATAAGTAGTCTAACTCAAAACTCAACTCAAACATTATCTTTGAGATATAAGGTGAGTCATACAGTAAAAAAAAACTAAAATTTTTCTTGAATACAAAGCCTGTTACGAGTCAATTATATGACATTTATTCTAACCTTCCTTCATGTTACTATAAAGCAATCAGTCAATTGTTTTATAGTAACATCATTTTTTTTTCTTTAATGAAGATTGTTACTATGTTCCGTTTGAATTTTAAGCAAAGGTTTTTATTGGCTTTGTGTCATTTTGGTGGCTTGGGCAATTCAAGTTTTTAAAATGTTGTTAACAGAGATGAACAATCCAGTTTTTCCTGGCCAATTTTGGGTTTTCTTTGAGCGCTGACGTGGCAATTGTTTAGTTTATTCTCCTGAAAACAATAACCAAACATAATTTAATTTGCTCCTAGCTTTTTTTTTATATATATATATAAATGTAGTAGCTTTGAATCCAACAAAAGACGGAAAAGTTAGAAATGAATACTTCATTTGAGCTTGACCAAATAAATACAATCTCAAGTCAGTGACTCGATGCAGTCAGCTGGGTTTCCTCAGATAGAAGACCTTTTAACTAATTTGAATAATAAATTGAACTTAAGTGCATTGATTCATGATTATGCTTCACTAGGACTGTATGTAGTTAACTTAGAATATGTATGATTGGATTGAACTGACTTGTCTTTCTGAGAAGTGCTTTGAAATGACATTTGTTGTGAATGTGGTGCTACAAAAAAATCCATCGACCTTACTAAATACCCCGCCTTGACGACTTGAATTACTAAAGTTTAAAAACCGGCACAAAACTATGCTATTAGGTCATGTGCTAATTGAAAAAACCCCCACTGATGTTTTCAATTTTGAAGCATTTCATGAATAAGGAGAATGCATCTGATTTCAGTATTTCACAAACCTGTCACCACCAGATCTGATCAAGGTAATTGTTTCGAATCAATGGTTGATGAATCTGTTGCTGTTATTATTGTTAACATTCATGATCCTTGTATAATTTCAATACTGTTATTGCTCCTTCATATTGCAGTATTTGTTTTTCCATACTTTTTTTTGTGCAAATCTAATGGCAAATGTTGTTTTAGATAAAAGACATTACTTTATCCATTTAAATTCATCTTCCTCGTGGTAAAAGTGTAAGGTCTACTAATTTTTATTAGAAGCATCTAGTTCTAAGAACTGAGGCATCCTTTGCATACTTTCACTGCAAGCATTTTCTGAGCAGTAGTATAGCTTTTTCCACCGCAGCCAGCTTTAATTGAAACCAGACCACGTCCCTCCTGATACAAGCTGTCCTATACGAAGACCTCAAACCAGTCTAATTTCCTCAAGAATTTAACACAATGATGTTGTCCAACGAATAAATTTATAAAGAAGGCGTCCATCTTCCCCTGACTAAATGACGACTGTTATATTTTAACATCGTTTAACCAATAGTGAGGCTAAAAAAAAAAAAAAAAAACGGAAGGCAAAATTCCAACAGGCTAAATTATAGTGTGAAAACATACAAAGAGACTGAGACATGTGAGTGGGGACGCGGCGTAATATATTTTTAGTCAAACACTCAAAAGCAGACTCTTGGAAGAGGTAGAAATGGACTTACAGCGATGCTCGGAACAGCAGTCTCTGGTCGCTCGATCATTATGCTGTCACCACCCAGCCTGCTACGGACACTCACCGAGGCATACACCGAGGAACGTCGGAGAGAGTCACGGAGCTTAGCAGAAAAATGCTGCTTTCTATGCTAAAACACCAAAACTAAGAAGGATAACGGAAACAACGTGGAAAAGTGAATGAATGAATGAATTGGGTCAAATTACATATGGCCGCTTGCTGGTAGTACAAGGAGGTAGAGCACAGTGAGGAGGAAAACGCTCCAACGGCTGTTTTTCTTCACGAGGAAAATCAGCTGTACTTGCACCAAGCTACTTCCGGTGGAGAATTTCAAAATATATTTTATAAAAATAAAAATTATTTTTAAAAAAATAAATATGAATAATGATTATTATTATTATTATTATTATTATTATTATTATTATTATTATTATTATTATTATTATTATTATTAATAGCCACTAATAATAATTATTATTATTAACAAACAATAATATTTCCCTATATTCCACAGAAAGTGATTGAAAACTTGTTATATTTAGCTCCATAGTAAACAGAATCAGGGTTGGTCTCAGACCTTTGGCTACTCTCATTTCTTAGCAAGCACATTTGCTCATTCTTAACATAGTTTGGCAGGAGGTTACACAGGGGCGGATCTACCGGGGTGGCATGGGGTGGCAGTTGTCACCCCAAACGAGAGCCTTGCCAACCC